AATATATATATATATATATATATATACACACACACACCATTCTCATTAATTAAACATAAACTACTAATTTTTTAAAAAAATTCTAAAAATACTTTAAAACACTTAAAAATTAAACAATCAAAATAAATTAAATAAATATTTTTATAAAATATTTTTAAAGTTATTAATTTCTATTTAATTAAAAAAGGCAATTTTAGTATAAGTTTTAAAAATTGGTTCAAGCAATCAAAATAAACGTTTCTTTAAAGGTGAAAAAATTGCTTTAATAATATTAAAAACAAAAAGTATCATCGAAATATTTTATTATAATAAAAAATACTAAAATAATTTTATTCCTTACTTTTATATAAAACTTTTTAATATATTTAAGTTGATATGTTCTGATAAAAGGGTGGTTATAATTAAGAGGTTCTTTTGTTTTTAATTAAAGTGCCCATGTGGCCTGTCCTCACACTCACACATCCATATTCAATGACTCAAAGCCATAACCTAAAGTTTAGATAAAAGGACTTACAACTGCCTAACTGAACTGTCCTTATTCGTTGGTTATAATTAAGAGGTTAATAATAGAAAGATGAGTATGTGTAGTTTCCCATGTTCTTAACATCCTAAAGTGCCACGCCAAGCACACCCGTTTAACTACCAATAATTTAATGGAAGAAAGAAAGAAAGAGAGAGAAGGAGAGAGGAAAAAATAAAATAAAAGAAAACATGATGAAGAAAATAGAAAAAGGGAGACTTTTCAGTAATCTTAATTTTTTATCCTTAAATCTGATGAAACTCACATTTAATTAAAAAGTATGTAAAACAGATAAATTTTAATATAAATTTAATAGTAAAAAAGTAAAAAATTATTGATAATTTATTTTTTTAGAGACTATTAAGAAAACTCTTAATAGAAAAAAAAAAGAAACAAATAGAATTCGCCAAGGCCAGATCCGTGAGCGCTGCCTTCCGACCAGCGGTCCGAGCTTTTACTTCAATCGCATTTTATGGTTAAACTAGGCGTCTCTCTCAGTGAGTGTTAACATAATTAATTTTAATTGAGGGGTTTCTCTGTTATTTTGATAAAATGTAGAAGTGTTAGTGTAAATAGCCATAAGAAAGAAAGTGAGTAAAAAAAAATAAGAGTTTGTTTAGTTGGGAGATTCATACCTTAATTCAAATTATAATTTATGATTTATTATAGTATTTTTTCTCATAAAAAATAATTTTAATTTTATGATTCTAATTTATGAACTAAACGTCTCTTAAAAAAAAAAAAAATAAGAGAGCTTTTCCCATACCGCCAGCGTGTTAGGACTACGGGTAGGCTCAATAAGATCACAATTTTTATTGGCTGTCAGGTACGTAGTGTATGATATCATCATGGACATTGGACGCAACAAAGTATCAAAAGTTTAAGGATTAAAATACCTCACCATCTTACGTGGAATTTATGGGTGGCTGCAAATTGTTTTCTTGTGGGACCGTCTTATTTAAAAATTTGTAAAATGAGTTTAAATGTGATTTTATTTGAGAAATTTTTTATTATAATATAAATATTAAATATAATTATTTTTAAAAAAATTTTATTATAATAAAATTTAAAATTTAAATTTAAATTAATAAAATAAACGAGATTTTAAAGTATTTTTTTAAAAAAAATTTTGACTTCCTTTACCCGTGGGACCCACCATCTAAATCCTTTCTCCTCCTTGAGGTTCGTAATTGAAAAAAATAAAAAAACAGAGAATCAAATGCTATACTAGTTTTTCTAAATGGATTTGTAACATATGGTTTAGGTTTTTTTTTTTAATATTAATTTTAAAAATGGGTTTTTATTCTATTGATTTTAGTTTTGTCCAAAAATGGTTTTTTTTTTCCTTTTTTGAGATCGATCGTGGCCGACGCCGGTGTTGGATCACGGATCTGAGGTGGCGCCATACGTATGGACTCACCGAGGTTGGGTGGCGTGGGTGGGTTAAGTGTGTGGGGCCGAGCTCCGTTCACGGAGGCGGGTTGAGCTTGCCGTCGTTGGTTTTCGCGGCAAGGAGCTTGAGTTTGCGAAGAAATGGTGATGATGGCATTGGGGTTCTGCAGGGAGAAGCAACAAAAATTTGTTGTTGTGTTGGCTAGAAGGAGAAATGGTGACGACGGCGTTGGAACTTAGAACTTGGAAGAGATGAAACCAAAATTTTTCTTTTTTTAATTATTTGTGGGTCCCACAGAAAATCCACGTCAAAGCCAAATGGACCACCGAGTCCCAAACTACTTGTCTCACGGGAGAAACTCCCAAAAAAATAAAAGGAAAACAAGACGAAAAAAAGGGAAAAATAGAGAAGAGAAGAAGCGAATAGAATCCGCCATGGCTAGACCCGTAAGCGCCGCCTCCAGAGCAGCAGTCCGACCGTCGTCCGCCACCGCCTCGACGACCATAACGCTAGACAATCCGGACGGATCGTCGTCGTCGTCGTCATCGTCACAGACGCAACAGCCGAAAACCCTAACGCTGCGCCTTAATCGGAAAAAGAAGCAGGTAACGTGGAAAGAAGGCACCGTGGACAACGAGTTCATGCAGAAGAAGAGCTCGAAGAAATGCTGCATCTTCCATAAGGAAAAGCCCTTTGACGAGGACGACAGCGACCAAGAAAACGACGACGATGACGGCCACAACCACCACGACAGAGGCGGCGACATGGGTTGTTGCTCCAAGGATCACGATCAATCGTAAGTGCAAGAAATGAGATGTAAAATAGTCGGAATCTTGATTGAATTGATTGTTTTTATGTTCTCCTTTATAATGATGTATGAGCAATTGGAAAGTATGATTTGGATAATTTGGTCTGAAGATTGTTTTTTGTTTGCGCCTAATTTCTTTTTCTTTTTTTTTTTTTTTTGGTTGGGTAAATTTCAATTGCTTTGTTGAATTGTCGTATGATCTGTTAATTTAACACCTGTTTATATCATAATTCTCAATTGTTTTTGTTTCTAATTGATTTTCTGTGGAAGCCTTAGGTCGGCCAATTCTTAGATTAGGCAATTTTGGAACTAGAGCAAGAAAAATTATGATATAGGGCAAAGAATTTCTTGAGAGAACTAATGGTTGCAATTCGACAATCCTGAAGAGTATATTTACCACTCTTGAATATGTTCGCAATATTACTTTTGAAAAGGAAACAGAAAAGTAATAGAAATTAGTATGATATACTAGATGTAGATTTTGCTGCCAATTGGCCAATATATTCTACTTATTTTTCTGTCTTAATTTCCTTTTGTGCGGAAATAGAGTTTTTGCCTTTGTTGTTGATGCTAGTTTTAGAAAAATAAGACATTTGCTGACCTTGATTCTGATAGCCTGAATTTTGGATAGTAATTGTAGAGGATGCAGGGATGGGAATGTAATAAGTATGAGGTATTAAATTGAGTTCAGCCTTGGGGCTTGTTATACTTCTCCTTAGGGGTCTCTACTTGATGAAGACCGAAAATTTGGATATATGTTTTCACTAATTATTCTATCCATTCAGACTGAACCTAATACGAGGATGTCAGATATCGTAGATGATGATGGATGTGATTCTCTTTAGGTTTTATGCAAAGTTTAGGAGGATACAATATCATTCCACGTCCTAGCAGAGGCCCTTTGAAATTGGTCGTATATAATTCAAGAGAAAGGAAGGAGTCACGTTTTTGTTTTTTTCCATAAGGTAGGAGGTATTACCATGATAGGGATTGCGCCAAAAATGTTAATTGGAAAATAGTCAATTGTAAGGAACTGTGAAGAATTTTACTACTGAAGTATTGGTATTGTTGGTTGAGCTCTGTGATGATATGAAGTGCTTACTCTAGTTTGCCTATGAATGTTGTTGTGTTATTTCTGTTGTGCTACCAAAGTTAGGCCGTGAAAGGACTGCCCAATTAACTTCAGATATATACTTGGGGAATGAAGTCGACATATGTAGCTTAGGAGGATTTTTATCAACTTGATAGAATGCTGGGTTAGATTGATGAGTACCTTTGGCTGAGCAAGAGAGAACTTTTTAAGACATTGGTAAATCCTCCAAACTTCGGTAAGTAGGACGAGTAGATTGGTTCTGCTGTACTGCCATGATATAAGAATTCGGTTAGTTAAGAAGCATTTAACCCTCAACCCAATTGCGTTTCTATCCCAAGTTCTGAAATGAAAAATGGTCTTGAAAGGAAATGATGACCCAAAGGAAATCCCAAATTGCTTTAGATCTTCTCCTAGCAAATCACTAAATGCATGGAGATCACTTGAGTTGAAAGTGTCTATTTGTGTTGC